GTTCATTAATTTACCAAAAAACTTATTCACTTTGAGAGTGACAGAGCACTGGAACAGGCTGCCCAGAGACGTTGTGGAGTCTCCTCTGGAGAGATTCAGAATCCTTCTGGCTGTGACCCTGGGCACCCTGCTGGGGGGGAGCTGCTGGAGCAGGGGGTGGGATGAGCTGATCCCCAGAGGTCCCTCCCACCCCCACCACGTTGGGGTTCTGTTTGAGGTGGTTTTTCCCAGCAGTGCAGACCCAGGAGACCTTTCTCCTTCCTGGCATGGGTGAGTTTTGATTTTTTTGGGGAAAATCTGAGCAGTGTCCCCTCCTTCTCCACAGAACTACTCCCTCTCTGTGTACCTGGTGAAGCAGCTGACCTCTGTGACCCTGCTGCAGAAGCTGAGGGCCAAGGGCATCCGCAACCCCGACCACTCCCGAGCCCTCAGTGAGTCCCCCCCCAAACTGAGCTACCCAGGGGCTCTGTGTCCCCACCCCTCCTGGGTCCTGTTGGTGAAGAGACACTGGGGAGGTGACCAAATATTTCCCCTGGGCTGTGGTTTCACTGGTTGGGAAATATTTAAGGTAGGGACCATTGGCCCAGCCGAGGAGACTCTCCCCTCCTCACCTATCCTGCCATGTTTCCTTGCCTCTAATCTGGATAATAAGTCTTGGGGCAGTTTGAAATCCTGGATTTATGAGCATAAAAGGAGGAGGATGTGGCCAAGAGACTTTTTTTTCCTCCCTTTTTCTCCTTTCAGTCAAAGAAAAACTCACAGCAGACCCTGACAGTGAGATCGCCACCACCAGCTTACGAGTCTCCCTCATGTGCCCGGTAGGTTCCTCTGGTTTTATTCCTCTTTCTCACTCTCCTGTGGCTGCAGAGGACTTCTAATACCATAATAATTCTGAAATAAAAGCAGAACCTCTTGCTTTCAGGTGAAAAAAATGGCTCAGATAGTTGCTCTGGCCAACAAATCTCTTCACCCCATCCTTGTCTTTCGCTACGAGCACGTGTTTGAGGGGGAAACTTAAAAAAAAAGCCAAAATACCCTCAGGAAAAGTGTTTTTTTCTTTACTTTCATCACGAGTTGATGTTTGGTTTGCCCCCTTGTGAACCCACCCTGGTTTCTTCTGGCCTGCAGCTGGGGAAGATGAGGCTGGTGGTGCCCTGCCGAGCCCTGACCTGCAGCCACCTGCAGTGCTTCGACGCCGCCCTCTACCTCCAGATGAACGAGAAGAAACCCACCTGGACCTGCCCTGTCTGTGACAAGAAGGCTCCATATGACAACCTGATCATCGATGGGTGAGCTGAGCCAGCTCCTTGCACCCTTGAATCATTCTCCTGCAAGGAGAAGTTAGAGGCTCTGAAATTTGGAGCTTTTCGTTCCCCCCCGCTGCCGATCTGCAGGGATTCCTCCCAAAAAAACCAAGGAGCCTTTGGTAAAATCTTGGCTGCCCTGCTGAGGGAACCTGCTCACCAGGGTCTGAACACAGCCCTCCTGTGTGCATCGAGCAGCCCCTCCCAGAAATAACCTCCCAGGTGAGGTTGGTGCAGAGTTCAGACCCTTCCTTCAGGGAATCAGGGAGTTCTTTGGGTTGGAGGAGAACTTTAAAATGGAATCCAACAGCACCACATCTCCATGGCTTGGGAACCCCCCCAGGGGTGGGGACTCCACCACTGCCCTGGGCAGCCTGGCACAGCCCTGGGCAACCCTCCAGGGCAAGAAATTGTTCCTCAGGGGCAACCCCAACCTCCCCTGGGGCAACTTGAGGCTGGTTCCTCTTCTCCTGTGGCTTGTTCCTTGGGAGCAGAGCCCGACCCCCCCCTGGCTCCAGGCTCCTTTCTTCACCCCCCTCTTTGAGCCCTGTGGGGCTGTCTCTGTTCTCCCCCTGGTGTATTTTTGACCCCTCCTGTGGCTGCTCTCCCCTGGCAGGTTGTTCATGGAGATCCTGAACTCCTGCACGGACTGTGACGAGATCCAGTTCATGGAGGACGGCTCCTGGTGCCCCATGAAGCCCAAGAAGGAGAAGCAGGAGGTGTGCCAGGCATCTGCCTTCAGTGGGAATGAGGGTAGGGGAGCTTTGCTCACAACTTTCCTTGTGGATCATGGGGTTTTTTTTTGGCCAAAGCCAGAATTTGGACATTTCTGAAGCCCCATTCGGAGCGTTTCAGATCCCACGCTGAGGTGACAGGCCCTTGGCACAACCCCAAAAAGCCAGAAACCAGCAGGTTCCTCATGAAACTGCAGCGTGCAGGGGGTTGAATCTGGGCTTGGAGGGGGTGGGTGGATTTGCCACGAGCTTTTTGGAAGCCCCAGGGGTGTTGTTTTGGTGTTGGTTTTGGGGGGTGTTTCCACCCTTTCGGCAGCTGAAGCCGCTCGCTGCTTTTTCCTCCTCAGCCACCTCCCTTTACACCCTGAGCTCTGAGGGCAAGAGCTCCTCAGAGGGCAAAAAAAAAGTGGAGGTTATTGACCTCACCCTGGACAGCTCGTCGGATGAGGAGGAGCCACCAGCCAAGAAGCTGTGCCCAGCCTCCAGCGTGGCTCTGCCCACAGTGCCAGGGCCCAAGGGGTAAGGAACATCCCCTCACCCTGCTGGGTGCTGCCTCCTTGCCCCTTCCCTGCTTGTTTCCCTTCCCAGGGTGGTGCCCAGCCCAGTTTGGGATCTCTCCAGTTTGGAGAAGTTTCTCCTCCTGCTCAGGTGGCACCTCCTGGGTTCCAGTTGGTGCCCGTTGCCCCTTGGCCTGTCCCTGGGCACCACTGAGCAGAGTCTGGCCCCAGCCTCTTGCCCCCCGGGGGCCCTTTAGCTCTTGCTCAGCACTGCTCAGATCCCCTCTGAGGCTTCTCTCTGGGCTCAGCAGCCCCAGGAATGTTGCCCAGCAGAGGAGCTGTGTGCTCCTTGAGGTTCACCAGCTCCATGTCCTGTTCCAGGGCCTTGGCCATCGATCCCCAGCCGCCCTCCGTGCTCCGAAGTCCCCCCATGGCAGCTCTGGGCAGTGACTATCTCTCCAGCCTCCCCATCCCTGACTACCACCCTTCCTACCAGGTGTCCTCAGAGCTTCAAGGTAACCACAGATCATGGTGATGATGTTCACTGGCCCATGTAGAAGAGAGAGGAAGGACTTTAGAGCAACTCCCTCCTGGGCCACGGCTCCAGAGGGATTTCTCTAGAGGAATTCAACTCACTCTGGGCTCCTTCCTGCCTGGAGCTACCACTAAGAGATTTATTTCTCCCCTTTTTCTTTTTTTCCAGGTCTGGATTTGTTTTCCTTCCTTCAAAGTGAAAATCAGGTCAGTGGAGGGTGGGTTTGGGTTTGTTTTCTTCCTTTTGTTTCATTTTTGGTGTTCTTCTCTCCTGGCCAAACCTGCAGGCTGTCAAACACATCCCCCTTCCCTCAGCCAACCTTCCTCCTCCTCCTCTGCTGTGGGATGGGGAGGGGAGGTGCAGATTTGGGGCTCCCTGGACATCACCTGGCACTGCATGGAGATCCTCAGAGCAGAGGAGCCCCAGCAATGCCCCGAGGGGGGAACCCCTCTGCTGGGAGCCCAGCAGGAGAGAGTTGGGCTGGGGCAGCCCCAGAGGAGAAGGCTCCAGCTGGGGAGACCTGCTGGGGGGTGTTTAATACTTGGAAGAAAGCTGGGGACAGAGTTTTGAGCAGGGGCTGTTGGGACAGGACAAGGGGGGATGGTTTAAACTCCAAGAGGGAGATTTAGACTAGAGGGAGAGAAATTTTGGGCACTGAGGGTGGTGAGCCCCTGGCCCAGGTTGCCCCAAGAGGTGGTCACTGCCCCATCCCTGGCACCATCAGTGTGAGGTCTCTGAGCCCCCTTCTCTAGCTGGGCCTGTCCCCAGCTGGGGCTGGTTTGGGGACAGCCCCGGGGCTCTCCTTGGGGGCTCAGGGTGGAGGTTTTTTGGCTGCCAGGACCTGAGGAGGAGTTTCCCCTTCGCTCGGCAGCATTACAGCCCCTCGGTCATCACCTCCCTGGACGAGCAGGACGCCCTGGGCCACTTCTTCCAGTACCGAGGCTCCTCCTCTTCCTCCTCCTCCTCCGGGCACTTCCTCCACGTGAACCCCCTGGCC